GATAGATGGCGACACATGAGCGTGTGCTTTTAAGAGTTGCATATGTACGGTGAAGGTAATGCAAACATAAATAGCTATGGAAATGCAAAAAGCAGTAATTAAAACAGTAGATAAATTAAATTAAGTGCCGGAGAACTGCTCCGGGTCTTTTTTTGTTAGCTTCGCTGTTATAATCATAATTTAGTCTTGGGATAGAACTGTTGTTAATCTTTTCGATGTTGTTGAAGAATTTCCGTGCTAATTTGCTATGTGTATGCTAATGCTTTCAATATTTAATTCGTTCTGAATAGCCTCGTTCCTGAAGAACCAGGGACTGTTGGATATAATCCTCAGCATGACATTTTGACTTTGCTGAATTTGCAGCATGTGAGTTTTGCACACATAACCCCAGACTGGGCAGGCATAGGTGATAATAGGTCGCAGCATGGATCTATATACATGAAGTTTATTTTGTATAGATAAAACGGAGTTTCGGGCAATTAGGGGTTTGAGTAAAGCTTTAGTACCCCGAAACTTGTTCAAAACAAATGTTATGTGTGGGGCCCAAGTGAGTTTTTGGTCTAAAATGACACCGAGGTATTGGCTTGCTTGGCCCAGGGAATGTTGACGTCGTATATTTTGAGGGTGATACTTAAGTCGAAAATCCTTTTCTTCGTGAAATAAACAGCTTCCGACTTTTCAACATTTATCTTGATTTTCCACTTAATCATCCAGGACTCTAATGCATGGATGTGTTCTTGTAGTGCCTGTACGACTGCGGCCATAGACGCAGCTTGGTAGAGGATCGCAGTGTCGTCTGCATAGAGTGCTAGTGTTGTGAGAGGGTTGTGAGGGATGTCGTTCGTATAAATAGAAAATAATGTGGGCGAAAGTAAACTTCCTTGCGGTAAGCCCGCAAGGGTTACTTTCCGTGTAGAGTGAGTGTTGTTATAACGAACGACAAAGTGTCTATCGTATAGATAGGAATTAATGATGTTTATGATGTAATCTGGGAAACCCAGAGTGATTAGCTTGTATGTGAGGCCCTGTAACCATACACAATCAAAGGCTTTCGAAATATCGAGAAAGAGTGCTCCAGTGATGTGTCTTTTTTGGAATCCTTCAGCAATCATTTCTGTGACTCTGTACAATTGATGAGTTGTAGAGTGTTTGCTCCGGAATCCGTATTGCTGTGGGATGAGAATTTGATTTTCTTCGAGGAATTCTTGGATCCTATTTAGAATGACTGCTTCGGCGATTTTGCTTAAGGTCGACAGTAAACTGATCGGCCTGTAGGAGGAAGCCAGCGTAGGGTCTTTTCCGGGTTTCAGGATCGGTGCGATGATTGCAGTTTTCCAATTGGTTGGAAAGTGATGTAGGCGGAGCATAGCGTTCAATAATTTGGAGAATTTACATAGCATTTTTGCTCCCATTTCCTTGATCATCTTGTTACTGATCTTGTCAATACCAGGGCTTTTTCGGTTCTTTCTCTTCTCGATATATCTAATAACCTCTGATGGCATAATTAAGGGTGTGTTGTTTGTGTGTGTTTTTGTTTGGAATTGTGTGATGAGTGTCGAAACCAAGTGTTCTGTATGAGGGTTAGAAATGTTGTGAGTGCGAAATTGAGATGCATAGTGATCTGCAATAGACTCAGCTTTCTCAAAATCGGTGTATGCGATCCCGTGGGGGCCATTAATGGGCGGAATATTAGTGTTGCGTCTTTTAAATTTAGATACAGCACTCCACAGTGAGTTATCATCTGTGGATAATGCTTCTAAGTGTCTGGCCCAGTCAAGTTGTGCATGTTTTTTCAGTAGAGTCCTGACTTGTTGGTTTAATTGATTAAGTAGAATTTTGTCCGTAGGACATCTGAAACGCTGCCATTGCTTCCGTATGCGGTTTCTGTTTCGGATCAGCTCCCGGATGGCACTGTTCTTGTATCTTCTATCAGCTCTCATTGCTTTGCTGTTTTTGAGTAAGGCATCTTGAAGCTCATCTGTAAATTCTTCAGTGTAAGCGTCTAACGCATCCCTTGAGTGTATCGTGGTGGTGGGGTACTGAGTGTTGTTTAGAGCTTTGGCATAACCTGCCCAGTTTGTGAAAAGGGCTCTTTTGTGTGGTGTACTGTAGGAGTCGGTAGATATTTCCATCATCACCGGATTGTGGTCTGAAGACAATTCTGTCAGACTTTCGACATAACTCGGGGGGTTGATGTTTTTTTTAAAATAAAAAATCCATAATTGATGGTCTACCTATCCCACAGTGTGTTGGTTTATCTGGTACTGCTAGGTGAATATTGGCCGCTAGGGCAATGTCGTGTATGACTCGTCCGTGTTGATTGATATCCCAGCAGTTCCACTCGCGGTGGTGTGCGTTGAAATCTCCACCTATGATGACTCGATTGTTAGTATTTAAAAGTGTTTGCAAATCTGTCCTGACAGAATTTGTAGGTGAATGTATAGCAAAATAGGTGGAGATAATAGTGATTGGTCGTGATGTGTTTGGCGTGAGTGTAATAGCTAGGGCTTCGACCGCTAAAAGCTGTGGTAGTGGAGTGACATGATGAGGGATGGAGCGCTTAACTAAGATTAGCAGACCTCCTCGTGCATTTCCTCTTGGTGCAAATCTACCTTCGGTAGGCCTGTTCCATCGATGCGTAATATAATTGGAAGCTCTGAAATAATTTTGGGTACCAAGCATGTGTTCTTGTTGGAGTAAAATATCGGGGGAAACTTCATGTAAAAACTCCTTAAGCTCATAGGCTTTTTGGAGGAATCCATTTGCGTTCCACGTGACAAGAGTGAGAGACATATTAGGGTTGTTCTGAAACATGATTGTTGATCTCACTAACAATTTCGTAAAACATAAATAGCTTATCTACAGGGTCAGACAAGGTTTTCAATTTAGGTAAATAATTTTTAAAGATATTATTCATCAATCTAATATTATTGATTCCTAGAATACTGTTAAATTCGGCGATGTTTTTCATGAAATTAAGGAATTCAGAGCCTTGTGGCTTCTCCTGGCTATCCATAACATTTTCTTTTCTTTTACTATTGGGGTTATCACTATTAGTCATATTTAGATTTTTTAAAGCATTGCTTAGATCACTGAGCTTAATATTTTCATTTGTCATTGAGTGCATATTTTGTGCAGCAGTAGCCGATTCTGTGGGATAAAAATTAGCATTTCCATTAAGCATATTGTTATGTTTTTAGCCATATCTGCGTATGAGATGCCTTTTCTGAGAACGCTTTCTTTTTTTTGCTGGGTAGGTCTATTTCGTGGGAATTTCTCACACCCACGGTATGAGGCTACGTGGTTTTTGAGGCAATTGGCGCACTTGGGCTCTTCCATCCTTCCTTTGGTCGGGCAATCTATGGTTTTGTGTTCCAGTGAGCACTTAACGCATCGTGGTGCAAAGTGGCAATTTTCAGAAGAGTGGTGCCACTTTTGGCAGTTATAGCACTGTGGCACCTGATTCTTCGAAATATAGTTCTCTACTGAAACAGCAAAGAGAAGGAGGTCGGTGACTTGATATATCTCGTCCGCTTTTTCATTTTTGATGATTTGTACAAGGAATAAAGGCATGGGAGCTTTGGTTCTTCGTCTTGTAAGTTGTGTGACTTTACTTATTCCGAACCCTTTGTCCGATAAGGCAGTGGCTATATCCTCCGGTTTTGTGGTTATAGACAGTCCTCTGAGAACCACTTTGATTGGACGAGCGTAATTTGCGTTGATGACGTAGTGCTCAACTTTTTTTTCCAGGAAAAGAGATGTCAGGATTCTGTGGTCGTCTGCAGTGCGTGGTAGGACTTTCAAAAGTTCACCATTAACCTTCCTAAAAATTTGGCTTCAGTTTGCAGAGCTAATTCCTTGAGAAAAGCCTCGTGGGTCAGTTTTCCGGGATTAACCATTATGGGGGGAATAGCCTGTGATTGGCTGTTGGTCGGCTGCTGCTGCACGGCCTGTCCGTCTGGGTTATTACCAGCATTAACATTTTCCTCATTACTAAAATTTTCATTTAATACAGAGTATCGATTAACAGTTTCTAAATTTAATGGAACTTTATCTAATTTTTGCTGCTTAGCAGTTTTTACGGGTAACTTAAATCCATCATTATCTATAATTATGTTGCCATGACTAATTTTTCTCTTAGCTTTAATTTCCTCATTTTTCCTTTTCATGCTAGAAATAACAGGGGGACAATGCCTGAAGAGCAAGATAAATTGCACTTACCTCTTATTTCTGCAGCTTGGGCCTGGAGCATGCGTAAGTTCTTCGTCATGATATCCGTAGTGGTATCCGGGTCAGAAACCGCGCGTAGTCGTTGACATGCTTTAATAGCGGTCTTCACAGCATCAATTTCCTTTTCTAAGTCCATAAGCTTTTCCGTATAATAATCCAGGTTTCGTTAATATCCGATTGGGGTTGCTGGGGAAGTCCAACACAACTCTCCGTGGCGGCAGGTGTCTCAGGCGGGACGCTAACATCCATCCGTGTAGTAACTTCGGCAGTAGAGCCTATCTCCGTCGGAGCGCTCATGATGCGCACCTTCACACACGGCCAGAACTGGTTGAGGTCACAGGTGGCCGAATTCTACGAAGCGGGTGTGTTGTAATTTGTGACAAGGTATGAAAAATGCTTCAATTTGCATGGTAAATATGTTGAAAAGTATTTTAGGCTGTATAGATTGCTCTGTAAATAAATGATAAATAAAAACAAATTGCGAATTGTTTTAATACCCAAACGGTACTTATTTCTGCATGAGCTTTGCATATTACTATAGCTGAGAATAGATGCAGCTGATACTATAGCTTTATACAGCAGTCGCAAACAGACGGCATTTGCTCCCCGAAGCCATTTTATGCCGCCTGAAGACATTTCATTTATTAATTTGTTGTAAATACAATGTTACAAAGATTTCAAGTTTTTAATTATTTAAAATCCGAGTTTACATTATTTTCTTTATCACTTAAACGTAAATAACGCTTGAAAAATATATAAATGGAGCTAAATTACAGTGTGATATAAATTTTATTCAAAGATTTGAAGATACAGATTTTATTAATTTTTATTCCTTCTCATTAAACAACAAATTTTGAATTTTTGCACTAAGAATAACTTCTTGTTCGGGAATATATTTATAAGTCAACAGCTTTTTTTCACATTTGGAATTAATATGTATAAAACCCGACTGACCAATGGGCATCTATTATCCTTGATGAAGATAATTTCTGTCCAAGCCTTCAAACTTTATCAAAATCTAAATACCATCCAGAGTCAAGCTGTAAGAAATAAAAAAATTTATAATTATTTACCTACAGACATATGTATTTTTATTTATGCGTCGAAGAAAAATTGAATAAATAAGAGAAAGAGTCTATCTTGTCATCATTTATTCTCAAGTTTTGTTTTACTTGTAAAATTTCCTCTGAGAATTTTAAAAGAATTTCACAATTTATTTCAATTTAAATTAAAATAATTAATGTTTAATTAAACATGTTAGAATTATTTCAAATGCACTTCAGGCTGAAAATTTAATGTTTAGCTGTGAGTATTATTTAAACTACAAAATGTAATCAAAGAAAATGTCTCTTTATACCGAACTGAGACTTCGGATAGAAAATTACTACATATTTGAACTTTTTCTTTGCGATATTATTATTATTTATATACATTTTTAAAAATACTTAGAAAGCGAAATTTAAAATTTATTGAATTTTTTGTTATTTCGTTAAAAAAGTCTGTATCGCCATTTGTTTTCAAATCGTGCATGCGACCTGCTGATGATTTGAGTTCGAGACCACTGGCTTATCATCTTAAATGAATGCAAGATCCAAAAACAGTTGATGCGACACATTTTTCTTTTTAACGAAATGAAAACTTTTTTAATTTTTAAACTTTGAAATATTTTAAATCCATTTTAAATTTCGTTTATTAAATATTGAGTGAAACGTACATAAACAATAATACTAATGCAAAGAAAATAATTCAAATTTATAATTACTATTTTCTATCTGAAATCTAAAATTTGTTACCTGCAAGACACTTTTGTTGGTTACCTTTTGTAATTCAAATATATTGATAGCTAAATATTAAATTTTCAAATTGATATTGATTTCAAATAAATCTAACATTGTAAGGTTTTTCTTTATTCTAATCAGTTATTTTTAGTTTGACTTTCCCGTTTTTCCTGATTTCAGTTTCCTGCTGGAATGTAAATTTCGTATGACGTAGATGTAAATTTTTAAACGTGTTTCAGAAGCAATATTTAATTTGCGTTTCAAGAGTTCAAAAGGAAAGTAGTGGACTTAGTTTCGATGTTTATGCTGCGAGTTTAAAATTAACTCTTTCTAATTCAGTATTCGACACCTTTCACTTTATACTGATATTTCTCGGCTCGGCTTTGCTGTGTGCAGTCGATTTAGCGTTAGTTAAGCTAAGGAGCCAGTCATTAGATTATTTTGAGTTACTATTGAATTGTTACATTCTTATTTTCTGTTACATAGCCACAAGTGGTGGTGATTTGTGAGCAAGTGCGTGCTTCTGTTTTGATTTAGATTTAAATAAAAAGATTATTTGAACCTTTCATCTGCAGTATTTATTCTTAAAGACATAGCGAGAATTCGCTACTTAGGCTTCCATATAGAGTTCAAGAGTGCAAGCTCCCAAAGAGTACACAAGAACTCTATAACCTATTTCATTTAAACAACTTACTGTAATTTTGTTGAATTTTAATTCAGGGTGACTTTGAGAGTATCGGCTTAACATGAAACTTGTTTCCTTACCAAAAGAATCCACGTGCTGTAAGTTAAACATAAATTTTAGTGGGTATTTTCCTTGAACTTTACAAAGCTGATGAATAGGATATGCCAACCTACAACATATGAGGAGTAAACATAACATGAAGAAGATGGGTGATTAATTTGACTGGTATATTTGCAAGTGGTAGGTAGCAGCAATTCCTCACGATATTTCCTAAAAATGCTACCTAGGACAACTAGATTCCTATTTCCGCTGTAATCTTCGACAGATCCTTTCCATGTCAAGATTCCATACATCAGATCACCGTACCATACTGAAGAGAAGAGAATTACGGCTACTGGCCTTGTCGATAACCAGGACGTCAGAAGGACGCACAGCCCTCTCAACACACATCTTCTTGGCCTTCGGTGTAGTGGTGTTAAACATCAAGGATCTGTGAGCAGTGCCCCTACTACAACTAATTTTAACCTTCCTAATTAAATTATTGGATCAAAAGTAAATGTAAGTTAATAACTTTTTTCCATAGCTAATTAAAAGGGGAATTAATATTCTTCGGCTCAGGCAAACTCGATGAGTTTTCGCAAAGTGGGTTCCCGCGTTACAACGCTATCCCGGGATAAGAGTGCGATTTTCGAATCTTTGATCGTCGAGCAGTTAGATAGAAAATTCGAGCACTATGAGTTCGTAACAAGAACCGATGATATGAGTCCTGAAGAAACACCAGTAGCTGATATGCCTTAGACGGAGATAAGTGTGCAATGGCGTAGTAAAAAAAAGAAATTGCCTATCACTGGTCTGAATAAGAGTCCGTGTGACCACTCATCATAGTACAAAATAAGTAAACATAAATACATAACATTCCATAGGTAATTAAGTAATACATAATAAGGAAAAATACATAAGACATAAAGTAGGAAATATGTACACTATATACAGAAATTAAGTCAGACAGCGAGTCAGTTCAAATCAAATCAAATCAAAAGAAATCAAATCAAAACAAAACAAAGCTCAAGTAAGGGAGAGTGTTTACATAAGTAGGTTATAAAAAATTTGAATTAATTTAAATATCTTAGTATCGCAATCGGCCGCTTGCTATTAATATCAAGTGAGTAGTCATAGTGAGGCACAGTAATTGAACTATTGTTAACATTAGGAATATTACGAAATATTTTTTTGCAAGGAGTGCGAAATAATTTGAGATAGTTGGAATTTCCAACTCCTCATGAATGGCCGTATTTCTTATGAACCAACGACTTCTGGAGAGTTGTCGAAGCGTAACATTCTGCAAGACTTGCAGTTTATTAATATTGGTATGGCTGGTATATCCCCAAACAGGGCAGGCATATGAAAGTATAGGACGCAAAAGGGTTTTGTAAATGAGCAGCTTATTATCAATAGAGAGAACGGAGTTCCGGCTAATTAAGGGGGTAAGTGTTCGTTTACGAGCACGGAACTTGGCAATAAGCTGTGTAATGTGTGGGGTCCATGTGAGTCGCCTATCTAAAGTAATGCCTAGGTATCGAGCTTGCCTAGTCCACTGTACAGGGGTATTGCACATGAGGATGGAGTCTTCCGAGTCGATGTTGACTCTTTTCGTAAACCAGATCGCCTCCGACTTGTCCACATTGATTTTGAATTTCCAGGCAGTGGCCAGGACTCGAGTGTGTGGATGTGAGATTGGGGTGCTTGTATAACTGGACCAGGAGATGCATTTTTTGAGAGTATTGCCGTGTCGTCGGCGTACATAGCCAGGGTGGTGTGTGGTGCTTGTGGGATGTCGTTCGTGTAGATATTATAGTAGATGGGCCCAAGGAGGCTCCCTTGTGGGACCCCAGCCCTGATAGCCCGTGAGGTTGAGTATGTGTTGTTTACACGAACGACAAAGTGTCTATCCTTAAGATAGGAGTATGTGATGGCTGTAATGTAATCTGGGAATCCCAGAGAGATAATTTTGTGCATGAGGCCCTCCAGCCATACACGATCAAAGGCCTTAGCTACATCAAGGAAGATGGCACCTGTGGTCTGCCGCTCCTGCAGTCCTTGAGAGATGTATTCCGTCACCCGGTACAGCTGGTGGACAGAGGAATGTTTCTTCCTGAAACCATGTTTTTGTGGAATGATGACATTTTTTAGGTCCATGTAGGCTTGAAGTCTTGTCAGGATGATGTGCTCCGCCACCTTGCTGAGCGAGGACAGAAGACTAATTGGTCTGTAGGAGGCTGGTTCTGCAGGAGGCTTTCCAGGCTTGAGAATAGGTATAATGATAGCAGTCTTCCATGGCATTGGATAATATCCCAGTCTTAGCATGTCGTTGATGATGGATGTAAGTTTCAGCAGCATGAGGATTCCCATACATCTGATCATCTTGTTGGAGATCATGTCGATGCCAGGGCTTTTCTTAACCAGCAGTTTTTCGATGTAGCCATAGACCTCTGAGGGTTTGACAGGAGTAATGTTGTTCGTGCGTGGTTTTGAAAGGAATTCTGTTAGTGTGGTGTTAACAAGGTGTTCTGTTTGAGGGTGAGAAATGTTGTTTGTGCAAAATTGAGAAGCATAGTGATCAGCTAGTGACTCAGCTTTCTCAGTTTCTGTGAGGGCAATATTTTGTTGGCCGTTTAAGGGCGGAATACTGGTGTGGCATCTCTTAAGTTTAGCAGTCGCCTTCCATACAGAGCTTTGATCTGCTGAAAGGGAAGTGAGATAGTTGGTCCAGTCTCGTTGTGTATGTTTGTGAGTACGAGTCCTGACCAGATGGTTCAGTCTGTTGAGGGTTGTCTTGTCAGCCGGGAAACGATACCTTTGCCAAACCTTTCTGGCAGCGTTTCTTTCTTGGATTAGTTTCTTCAGTTCAGAATCTGTTGCCTTGTGCCTGTGAGAGACTGCAGTGCTGTTTGCATCCAGGGCAGTAGTTAAGTTTGTGGTGAATTCTTGGACCAAAACATCTAACTCATCACCCGTGGTGGCTGTTGGAATGTGTAGTGTGGTGTTGTTTAAGGCTTTGGCATATCCCGCCCAGTTAGTAATAAAGGCCTTTTTGTGTGGTGTGCTACAGACAGAGGTCCCCACCTGTATCATTACCGGGATTCTTCGGATACGATAATGTAAAAATAACCAGTTTAAGCAGAAAGCCGTGCGAGCGAGTGACGTAATAGTGCAAGTGACATAAAACTGCCTCTGGTAACATGGAGATAAAAATACATACAAAATTCACATAATTCAAAGTATTAATAAGTACAGTGTAAGTAACATAAAATAATACTAAATAAAACTTAATTACAGTGGCTATTCTTCATAAATAATTTTCTTGCTGAGGATAAACATAGGTCAATTGTTGTTCCTAGCATCATTATAATCATAATTATAAACATTGATGGCAAGATTTAAGATACTGTGTTGTTTTATATGAAAATTCTTGACAAAATGATTAAAATAAGTTCTTATTTGACAAATGTTTAATTCCTCGTGGATTTTATTTCGCACATACCAGGACGCATTCGTGATTTGACGTTAGGTACAATTC